ATGCAGATTGATGGATAAATATTCCATTGTTCACATGATCCACTTCTAATCCCAAATAATATTTTGTCCTTCCAAAATCTTTGATCTCAAATTATTTCTTTAGATTTTCAACTGCAATTTGGATCTCTTATGGAGTTCCAATTAAACTGATATCATCAACATATATTGCAATAATGACATAATTTGATCTATTTTTCTTTATAAAGACGCATGGGCATATTGAATCATTAGTATAACATTCTTTTATTAAACATTCACTAAGACGGTTATACCACATTCCCCATGATTGTTTAAGTTCATACAATGACTTTTTCAATTTGATGGAATATGATTCCTTTGGGTTTATTTGGTATGCTTCAGGCATATTGAATCCATCGGGAACTTTCATATAAATGTCAGTATCTAAGGAGCCATAAAGATATGCAGTAACTACGTCTAAAAGACGCATATCGAGTTTCTCTCGCACTGCTAGGCTCACAAAGTATCTAAATGTTATTTCATCAACAACTGGAGAGTATGTTTCATCAAAGTCTATTCCAGGCCTTTGTTAGAATCCTTGAGCTACAAGACGGGTCTTATATCTCACAATTTCATTATACTAATTTTTTTTTCTTACAAACACCCATTTGTATCCAACTAGTTCTAGATCATCTGGTGTTTGAATAATTGGTCCGAAGACCTCTTTTTTGTTTAATTAGTCAAGCTCTTATTGAATCGCATGTTCCCATTTTGGCCAGCCATTTCTTTGCCGACATTCATGAACCGATTTTGGCTCTAGATCCTCATTTTCTTTCATTATATCAAGTGCTAAATTGTATGCGAAGATATTATCAATAATGACCTCTTTATGGTTCCAACATTTTCTTGAAGTAACATAATTAATTGAGTTTTCAATAATCTCATCATGTTGTTCAAGATCGTGCTCTTCTGGAGCAATTATTTCATGGTTGACTTCCTCATTAGATTAAGGTTTATCAATGTCATTCCTGATATTTTCATAATTATCATCATTAATTCCTCTTTTCTTTCGAGGATGTTTGTCTTTTGAACCAAGTGGTCTGCCACGTTTCAAGCGTGTTGCTGATTCATTAGTATTTCCAATTTGCCCATCAGGGAAAATTAATTTAGCCGGAGCATTAGCAGCTTGAATATATGATTGAGTGACTTTACTCAAGTCATTGAATGCATCCAGTAACTAATTTGCAATATTTTGCAAATGTATAATGCGTTAAACTTCTAGTTCACACTGTTTTGGACGAGGATCACAAAAATTCAATGAGATTTTCCAATTAATGTCCCTTTTTGGTTCATTTATGTTTCCCCTAATGTCGGAAAATACGATTCATCAAAATGACAATCTGTAAATCTTGCAGTGAATAAATCATCCGCCATAGGTTCAAGATATTTTATAATTGACGGAGATTCATATCCAATATAAATGCTCAATCTACATTGAGGACCAATTTTTGTACGTTTGGGGGGTGGAATAGGAATATATACAGAACACCCAAAAATACATAGATAAGATATATTTGGTTCGTGACCAAATACTAATTGCATAGCGGAATAGCTATGATAGCTTGTCGGCCTCATTCTTACGAGTGTTCCTGCATGTAAGATTGCATGCCCCCAAGCTGAAACGGGCAATATAGACCTCATCAGTAATGGTCTAGAAATCAATTGCAATCTTTTAATAAGTGATTCTATCAGACCATTTTGGTATGCACATAAACAACTGGGTGCTCTACATTAGTTACAATCGATATGCAATAATTATCAAATGCATTTGATGTATATTCACCAGCATTATCCAGAGGTATAGTCTTAATTGGATTATCGGGGAATTGTGCCTGTATTCAATAATTTGGGCAACCAATCTCACAAATGTCACATTGCGAATAGATAATAAACAAACATGCGACCATCTGGTAGATGCATCGATAAGCACCATAAAATATTTAAATGGCTCACACGGTGGGTTTATTGGTCCACATATATCCCCGAGTATTCTTTTAAAAAAATGTAGGTGATTCAATACCTACTTTAGCTAGCGATGGCCTGGTTATCATTTTTTCCTGACTGCAGACAACACATGTTAACTCATTACGTTTAAGACTTTTTGACATTTTAATGAATGACCATGCGAATTCTCAATTATCCGCCTCATCACTATACTACCAAGATGCCCAAGACGATCATGCCATATTTGAAAATCAGTAATCTTTTGATCTACCATGAGGTATGTTTCAACAACACCTAATATGGCATAATATACGCCAGTAGAGAGTGAAAGTAATCTCTCAATGATACATTTCATTTTATCAATGATATTGGTGATCAATAGAAATTCACCATCGGTATTACTCATAGTTTCAATGTGATAACCATTTTTCCGAATGCCATGAAAGCTCAGTAAATTTCTTCGAGCTTTAGTTGCCAACAGTGCATATTGTATCACAATTTTCGTCCCCGCGGGGAGAAATATAATGGCTTCTCCAGAGCCTTCAATTAATTTTGCACTGCCACTTATTGTATTGACATTCATTCTTTCCCTTTTCAAATAGGAGAAATATTTTTCGTGTTTTAATATAGTATGTGTCGTTGCACTGTCAATGAAAAACTTATTTGCATCATTTTGATTGGCATCCATTTAACCTTCAAATATAAATAACGCAGTATTAATAAAGGCAAATGCAAATATTATAAAATACATTACAAAAAGCTAATATGCGATAATTTAAATATTACAAAATGTAAAATAGTGTAATGTAAAATGACGTAGTATGTCTATCACTGGGGGTTTGCTGGATCTACGACAAAATCCGCTATATCAAGATGCGTTGTGTCATAATCTAGAAGATTATCATTGGGGTCGTCATCATTATCAACGTAATTAATCTCGACCTCATTCCCCTTGTTTCTGCAGTGAGGCTTGATAAAGATCGGCTAGGTGTTTGGTTGTTCTACAAGTATTGGCCCAATGGCCTTCAATGCCACATTGATTACAAATGCCGATTTGCCTCTTTCCCTATTTAGCCTTTTCGGCTATATCCTCATATTGGGGTTTACTCTACTTCCTGTTAATGTCAAAACCACGGTGATTGTAACGGGTATATCGACCGCATTGACTCTTATGACTGCGACCACGTCCACGGCCTCTACCACGTCCTCGGCCTCGTTCAGAAAATATCACGTTCACTTCAGGGAACAGACTGGAACCAGTAGGTCGAGACTTATGATTTTTCATAAGTAACTCATTATTTTGCTCAGTTAACAAAAGACATGCTATAAGCTATGAGTATTTTTGAAAAAAAAAAATTCACGATACTGCTGTTGCAGCACAACATTAGAAGCATGAAAGGTAGAGAGAGTCTTCTCCAATTTATTATTCTCAATAACATTTTATCCGCAGAGTTTCAACTGAGATGTAATTTGATGGATAGCAGCGTTGTACTCTATAACAGTTTTAAAATCCTGCAACCACAAGTTAAGCCAATCATGTCGGGCTTTGGGGAGAGTGATATATTTTAAGTGCCCAAATCTCTCTCTCAATTCATTCCACAAATCAAATAGATTTTTCACCGTCAAATAGTCGGACTGTAAAGGAATGTCCAGATGGTGACGAATAAAAATAATAGTCTTAGCCCAATCTTGGCTCGTAGCTGTATTTTCACTGACAATTGTATGGATAAGGTCCATAGAAATCAGATGCATTTCTACATCCAGAGACCAAGTCAGAAAATTATTGCCGGTAAGACATAAGTTTAAAAGAAAATTTTGCAAGATTTTCCATAGTTTAAAAAATAGATAATATAAATAGTAAAAAAACTTACCAAAAATAAAACAATCAAAGTATTCGTACCGATAAAGTGTTATATAATAAATAGTATATATATAGGTAAGTATATATATATATGGTAGTGCAGTATGTATGTAATATTATATATATATATTATATATATATATGAAAGTATGAATGTATGATGGGCGATAGAGGGAGAGATTGAAGTAATGAAATTGTGATGATTTTATTGAATGAATTGATTGATCTACGATAGCCTATTTATAGGCAAATAAAGAATGACTTTGACACTAGGTGGATGATAATATGCATCCAACTAATGCATACGTCTACACTATATGTAACATACCTATATATATTATATTGACATATATAATGAACATTACGCATATTGACGTGTCAATAACGGCGATTAGGGTGCTGACGAGATTAAATCAACACTCTGATTTGGCCAAGTTAACAAATCAATATAAAATAATTAGCAATTCGTCATAAAACAGATAACATAGGATATTAACTTGAAATAATTAATATTTCGTAACAAGATAGATAGCATATGTATTGTTATATACTCGCTTTGTTTCTTAACAATCTATCTATTTCGCTATTTTGATCCATCGCATAACAAAATATTTATTTTCCTTTTTAGTAACTGTATTTTTTACACCGTCATTAAAAATACCCTTACAACTTATAATATATTATATAAATATCATTACCTTTATATCACATAATACTAACAGGTTATTTTAGTTTTTTCTATTTTATTCATACCACATTCTAATATAATATTAATATTCTTAAAATTGGGTACAAAAAACAAACAAATAGATTGATAAAGAACGAAGAAAATATTATATTAATATTTGCTACTTTATTTATAGATATTTATTTATTATATCAAATTATTATTGCGTTCAAATTAAAATATATTTTACTATATTTATAGATATTTATTTATTATATCAAATTATTATTGCGTACAAATTAAAATATATTTTACTATATTTAATTATATAATATGCATTACATTAATATTTGTTATTTTTTATGATTATATCAAATAAACACCCTCTTAATTTGACTCAGCAAAGAAGATATACATTTGTTGTTTAGATAAATGGGCTTTGTTGTAAAACCTGTGGCCCAAACAGGATAGGCCCATTATTACTTAAAGGGTGATCCGCCTCTTGGGCGGCTTGCTGAAGTCTACTATCTCAAAGGCGAGGAAGACTAGAGGAAGAAAGGGGCAGGCGGAATCACAGTCGGGAAAGATGCCGGTGATGGAAAAGCTGAAGATGTTTATAGTCCAAGAGCCTGTTGTTGCTGCTTCTTGCATTATCGGTGGCATCGGTCAGTATTTCCATCTTCATCTTCATCTCTCTTATAGTAAAACCGTTTCTTCCTAGGGTTTGTGAATTTGTTTTCTTTCCAATTAGATGTGGTGGAATGGATTCAAGTTCGCCGAATGTGATTTCGATTAGGATCATACCGTGTAGAGAAAGATTAATTGATTGGGTGGCCGCGTGATCGAATCCCTATTTCCTTAGTGAGATGGGCGAAATTTTATTCTTGAGCGAGCAATCATGATAGTTTTAGTAGTGAGGATTGGGTAATAGCTAAAGCAATGTCTGTGATGCGTGGCTGCTAATTTTGATCATTGTTAGACTGCAAAATTTAGATGGGGATTGGGGTTTATTCGTGAAATTCTATAACTTGTTTACTGTTGTCCGTTACAATTTTTGGTAGTAATCATTGAATTTTCTCTGCGGAGAGTAGTGGCTCTCATACATAGCCATTGGTTTCTAGAGTCAGTGACCTTATTTGGTTGGTTGCATATTTAATTTCTGGTTATGTGGGGGATACTTATCCGCAACTTCAAGGGTGATAAATGCATAATGTATGCCTGGAGTATTGTAAAGTATTTATCTTTATTTTACTACTCGGAGAACCCAACCATTTCCTGCTCCGACGTTTAGATTGATGGTATATCCTTCACAAGATTTAGCGTTGGCATATTTCAGGGCTCTTCCTTCCAGCTGTGGTGAGACCTATACTCGACTCTTTGGAAACATCAAAGCAAGTGCCTCCACCTGCTTTAAGTGATGTAAGTGTTTCCCTAGTCTCAACGGTTTACTAATTTTACAGGAGATTAACGTGTAGCTCTGTATGACAGGACATTCTGTTTTTATCTTGTTCGCCTTGGATTTATTATATGTTTTCTAATTTATTGGAAGATTTACATGTATATTGCCTTGCATAGGTTTAATTTTACAAATTTTGTATTCTAGCTGTCTTGTAATATTACTTGATGAGAACTAGCAATCTAGGTTGAATGTGAAACTCCCGTTCCTTTGGGATGTATTACTTATCAGGGTTTTGTTGTACATACATTTTCCATGTAAACCCTTTTCCACGTACATTTAATTGAACTTCGTTGTGTATTGTAGGTCGTTGCTGGTGTCACAGGGAAGAAACAGGGTTGAGATGAGCGTAATGGCTCATTAACTTCACACATTCTGTTTTCTGGAATATCTATCTTCTATGTTTCTACTTGAGGTTTGCGCTGCATCACATTCTGAATGTTCAACAGATATTCATTACATGTCATGTGAAACTTGATATGACTTGATTAATGTCAACACTGCCTGCAAGTTTTCGATATATCAAAGGCTTAATAATTCTGTTTTTTATTCTAGGATGTCTTAAAATGTGATTTTCATATGTAGTGGCTGGGGTTGGGTTTAGTAGGTATGGACCCTAAAGGCCAAGCCGAGCCCTTAAACTGAATTGAGTCGTGTTCTTTGTTGACCGGATATATAATAAATATATTTACAATGTAGTTTGGGTTCAGTTTTCAGAAACTTTTATCTCTATTAACTGGACTGAATTATTATATATGATGATCCTTAGTATTGGCACACCCATGAACTTGTATTGGGATATTACTGTGAACTGTGAAGTTGTTCAGTTCGAGCTTTAGCACTCTGTTTTCATTTTGATTCGATGTTTTTAGGAAAAAAATAAAATTGTGAATAGTAGAAATCAAAACAAATCATCAAAACAAAAGCATTATTTTATATGAGGGATTAATGAGAATTGGGATAGGATTGAGTTGAGGAGTTGGGGTTTGGTTACTAAAATTTGCTCTAGGGTTTACTTTTCTGTTCAATTTAATTTGTACATTGGTGATCCATCAGGTTTTGGTGTTTTGAAAAAGTTTAGAATAGTAAAGGCATGTTTGTTCCTGTGCTTTAGAATTAGGTTTGGGTTTTTGAATAATAATCTTTTTTATTTGGAAAAATTATTTGATTTTATATAAATAGAGGTTGATGGTAAAATTATTTTTTAGTGTAGATAGAAAATAGAAAATATGAATTTGATTTTTGATATTTTTAGAGAAAAACATTACATAAATAGAAAAAATCCTATTAAGAAACTACAAGCATACATGGTTAAAAAAATTGAGAAAGTGATGTGATATTTTAGGTTTGTGTGTGTGTGTTTGTTTGAAGAATTTAATTAGATTTTCACTATTCATATAATATTTTACCTCCAAAAATATTAAATCACACACTTATTTTATATTTTTATATTATACTACAAAGCAATTTTACATTTAAAATATCATATCAATCCTTATTTATATTAAATCATAAAATTATTCAAATTCAAATTTTTTATTATTTAAATCTCAACTTAAAATTTAAATCTCCAAACAAACACTCTGTGTAAATATTATTAAAAAAATATAATATATATACATTAATATAATATACGACAATGATTAAGGTGGTGATTTGTTATATACAAACAACAGGTGTGTTAAAACACATGTGTGTAAGAAAGATTTGTTATTTGTTCATAATTTCAAGTGTAATGTAAAGAATATGTGTTTAACTAAAGCATTTGTTGTTAGTTTATACATTATATTTGTATTATATTGACGCATACGACGTGCCGACTGTAGTAATACTGTGTGTTGTATATTAGCACACAATATGCAATTTAACACCACATTGTAGTCGTCGCCATAATCTATATATTATCTACCCATTATAAGTCAAAAATTCAAAACAAAATATTATTTTTAATATTACAAACGTAATTTTTCATATCTAAAGTAAATATATATATATATATTCACATACGAAAACACAAAGTGAACATGAAATTAAAAAGTACTCCCCCGGCCCTTTAAGTAAATATCTATTTATTTTTTGCATGTTAAAATTTTGAATATTAATATTTTTTTCGTCTCAATTCAAAGTATTTTTTTCACTATTTTTGTATATCCCATTTAAAAGTATTATTTTTTTATTTTAATAAAAATAATAATGTACTAATACTAAAATAATTACAATTATCTCATTACACAGATACAATGAAGTGAGACGGAGGAGTATTATATTAATATGTAATGCAAATGAAGAGAAAAGATAAAAACAAAAACAAAAAAAAAAAACAAAAAAAACAAAAACAAAAAAATTCCTCTATAAAATCTTAATTTTTATCATTAAATTTTGTAATTAATATAATTAAAAATAATTATGATTTAAGGCATTTAGCTTCCGGTTAAAAGAGTTACATTTAAATTTTGTGTTATTATATTTAATATTAACAAAATAATTTATATTTATATAATTTTTTATACAAATATTATTATATTTGTATTATAAAATGCTGATTGGAATATTTGTCTTTTTTTTATTATATTTTGATATAATAATTAATATTTAATAAATCAACACGCACAAATTAAGATGAATGTAGGGGAACATATGAGTTTTTAATTTTTAATTTGAATTTTGAATTTAAATTTTAAATAATAAAAATTTGAATTTGTATTTTAATATTATTAAAGGAAAAAATAAATTGAACAGTAGAAATTTGTAAAAAAAAAAAAAAAAAAAAAAGACACGAATGTAGTATTTGGTATTATGATGTATTTCAATTTTTTAAAATTGGTTGAAGATCAGCGGTGTGTTCTTTTTGTCAAAAAGAAAAAAAAAAGTTACTTACTTTTCACAAAGAAAAAAAAATTAATATATTACATATATATTCACTATTTTTATATTATTTATACAATTTTATATATTTAACATAAAAATAAATATTTTTTTTCAAATTATTTCACAAAATAAATAATCTCATTATATTTAAAATATTCGTTGTCATTTCAAATATGTTTTGCAATTAGATGATACTCCATTTGTTCCATTTAAGGTGCAATTTTGCACTGGAATCAGACTAAAGTGGAAATTAAGTAAGTGATGAAAAAACAAAAATTGTATATTTATTTATTTATTTATTTTTGAATTGTGTGATGAAATAAAATAGTAGTTAACTATTTTTTATTTAAAAATATTAAAAAATATGTGAGTTAGGTCAAAATAATACCTAAAACTTCGTGTCCCAATTAAAATAGAAAAATTAACTCGAATGGAGAGAGTATATTTTAATATTTAAAATCTTAAATAATTCAAATTCATTCATTGAAAATTGACACTCAATCCAAATTTGTTTTTCTAGTTTTTATTTGAGATATTTTTAGTGTGAAGTATCAAAAATTATATTGGTAATATAAAAATTATTTTCTCTGTTCAAGATAATTTGTGCACTTTAGTTGGGATGTAATTAGTAAGTAATTAAAAAATATATTAGTAAAATAGATTATGATATAATAAAAATAATTTTAAATTAAAATTAAGAAAACTAAATAATTTAATTAAAATAAAAAAATTATAAATTATAAATTTTAAAATATGTTAAAGTTTATAATTTTATTTTAAAAAAAAACAAACAATTTATGTGAAACAACGAATATGAAAAGAATAAACAAAGACTAAGAGAGTAATATTTAATATTAAATTGTTAATTTTGTAATAGAATAAAGTATAAACATTATATTGGGCCTGAAAATACGAGGAAAGTTGGCCTGGAAGAGCATCCTAATTGACTAGGAGGCGGCTCAAGGTGGAGGAAGGTGACAATCTGGAGGTGGCAACGTGTCGATTCGTGTCGGGTTTGTGTTGATTCGTTTATTATCGTATCGGGTTCGGGTTGATTCGTGTTGTTCCGTATACATAATTAAATTAAATTTTTTTACTCAAATTAAATAATTTTTTGTTGTGTTTTCGTGTTATGTTAATTTTTATTTATTTGAGCGTAAATTAGGTTAAATTATTTAAAATTGAATTTAGTTTAAGTTAATTTATGAGAAAATTAATAAATTATGATTATTTTACATATATAATAAATATATTAATCAATATTAATATATTATAATCGGATTGTTATATCGGGTTCGAGTTGAGAGTCTCAACCCTAATCCGACCCGTTTATTATCGTGTTGGGTTTGTGTCAACCCGTATATATAATCGAGTTGAAATCTTTGACCCAAATCCAATTATTTCATGTCGGGTCGTATCGAATTACCGTATCGGGTTAATTTTTGCCGACTCTAGTTTTATCCATCAATAAAGTAGCGGTTTGGGGGTTATAAGGAGAGTTAAATGAATGAGCTAAAATGAAGCTACAAAAGAAGATGAACATAGTCAAAAAGTGGTCGTTGACCAAGACAATTTTCAGTTTTTTTATACTCCTCCGTCCCGGTCAAGATGACCCATTTGCTTAAGAACACGATATTTAGGTAGTGTAAATTAGTAAGTTATTAATAATAAGTTATGGTATTATTTTATTATTTTTATATGAGCAGTGTTGTTGGCGTTTTAAATATTTTTAGCATTATATATCAATTAAATATATCAATATGGATATCATTTTGTAGAGAATAAAATTTTATATAATAATTTATTTATTTATAATTAATTTAAAACTAATTTTGTTAAAAATAAAAATTTTTAAATATACATAAAAATATTTATTTATTGAGGAGAAAGATAGAAATAAAGGGGTTTCAAGTGAGTTAAGAGATTAGAAATTTAATTTAATTGATTTATATTTATTAAATATGCTTAAGATGAATAAATTTACTAAAAATAGAAATGGGTCATATTTAATGGGATAGACAAAAAAAAATCATTTGTTGCGGGACGGAGAGAGTATATTTTCTAGTATTTTATTTTTTTCGCATTTTATCAACTTTATTATTATTAGTTTTTTTTTTATTTTCTTCCGATTCCAAATTCCGATACGAAATAGTCACCTAAGGATTGTCTGGCGTAACTTAAGGAACCCTTAACAGCACTTCAACTAGCTTCGTCAAGCCGTCGAGAGACTCAAATATATTAATTCGCGTATAAAACAAATTTTAAAAAATTTAAGTGCGTTCAGTTCTCATATTATTATTTATGAGCCAAAACAGATTATAATGCACGATGACAAATAAATTTTAGACGTTATAATTACCCATATAATTAAATCAAACTCTTGTTGGGTCTTCGTGTTACAATGACCAATACCAAAAGGTTTTCTTGACCCTTATTATTTTTTACACTTAGGTTCTGAAACCTCTTGATCAAAGTTATTAAGCCTCTGCCTCAGTTCACTTCATAGTTCTTTATATATAGTTTTTGGGTGGATAGCGATATGCTTAGGAGATAGAACTTCCACTTTCACCGGGCATGTCTACATTTTGAAGTATTTGTATATAGATTTCTTGCCTTACCATAGTTCGTAAGGAGTAACATTCTTATCCTTAAGTGAAATCTTGTTTATGATATAATTTGCA